TGCCGAACGCTTGCAGATATGGCAGCTCGTTGTCTGGGCTCATCAGTCGTCCAGCTTGGGTCGTCCAGATGAAGCCACCAGCAATCCATCGTTCCGTGGCTGGGCACCAAAGTGGCAGGAATATTAGGCTTCTCACCTTGGGCAAGACTTTGAGGAATTCGGTCGGGATGAATCTTTCTCGCTTTTTGCGCGGCTTCTTAGTGTTAGCGGTAGATCCGTCCATTGTGCGGTCCGACTGCTCAGTCTCGGAGCGTTCTGACTTCTCGTCGGAAGAATTGACGCCGATACCATCCTCGTTGTAGTTGAAAAATTTTCCGTACGGGTACCGATGGATATAGCGTTCCATGGCAGCTTCGTTGAAGCTGAAGTCTGTGTGTACTAGGGCCGCATTTCCTTCACGCAACGATAACCCTACAACAGGACAAGCCTTGCTATCACCTCCACTTGCTTCGGGCGCTCCATCGGCAGTGATGGCAGTTTGTTTCTTAGGCCTCCTTGAAGCAGTCGAGTCGCCAGTGTCGGTGTTGTGTGTCGCACTCTCGTCGCTACTAGCGGAGCTGCGGTTGTAGTCGTAGAGATGGGTTCTTATCCCAGCGGCCGAAGTGTCGAAGAAGACGACGCCGTCGGCCTCAGTGCTCTGACGAATTATGCGCGCGGCTCTATGGAAGATGCGGGCTGCGTCAGATTCAGCATCGCGCTTGCGCTGGGCCTGTCTAACAGGAAGAGACGTGTTGGAGCCTTCTTGCTCCTCTCCTTCGTCAAGGGCTACCAAGCGCGCGTTCTCAGTCTGTTTCTCCATGGTGGTAGGGCGGTTCCCATCCTCGCGGATATCTTGGACAGAGGAGCACTCGATGAACTGCGTCAAGCCGCGTACCATGCGCTCACCCTTGTTGCGGTCCACACTGTCTTTGGCCAGCTCGAGGTGTTCCATGACGGCAGCGGAAACATCCTGCATGAAGCGCAATTCGCCAGCACTGATGCCCTCCCGGGGCTTCTCGTCAGACACGGCATAGACGCCAATGCGATGACCGGCCTTGGTGACGATGGGTACGCCAGCATAGAACCTCACGCCCGGCTCGCCCTTGACATAGTCCTTGTCGGCAAACCTAGGGTCCAATCTGCAGTCAGGTATGACCATGCATTCGCCCGTGAGCGTGCTCCCATCTTCCTCTTTTGCAGTATACGTCGAGGTGAAGGTGTGGTAGCAGACAGCGTCGGTCTTGGTCAAGATTGCGTTGCCCAGCCACACCTCGTCTTCGGGCTCTTCGGCAACAGGCTTGAACAGCGAGAGAGTGCGTGTAGCCTCGGCAAGAATGTATTGGTGGTGCGAGTCGATCAGCGAGACCACTGAACATGGTGTTCGAAGTTAGTGTATATCTCACATACAGTTCGCACATAGACACTTACTGCAACGGCGAGTGTCTAGACGCAGTGTCGCCAACTGCGCAAAGGCAGTCAGGGAGCGGTCGCGCGACGTCTGAGGCTGGTAGCCCGAGTAGGTCAGGCCTTTGCCAGAACCGTCGGCCGCATCAACCAGGCTCTGTGCATCGAGCCATGGACGATAATATCTAGTGGATCCTTAGCTGCAGTCGAGGAGTGTGTATCGCTCGAGCCAAACCTGTGGAGATCGCGCTCACGTGCTGCTTCGGGCCACGAGTAGCCCATTGTTATCGTATAGTTGCAGGCAGGCTCAACATGTCCTTCCAGAGAGGCACTGCAAAGAATCTATGCCAGGGCAGAGGCACAACGGTGGGGTGTCTTTGACTGGCGGCGGCGACGGGGGCATGTCACGCTCCTCGTGGCTGCCGCTGTCTTCCCTTTTGAGTGCCTTGGTTAACTGCATCGGTGCTAGACGCCCCATATCCTGGCGCCGCGGACCACAGGCAAGTAACGCGTTCCTTTTTGGCCCGTGGCGCCCTGGGCATGGGAATGTGAGGACTATGCGATCGAGATGAGCCTGCGTTTATCAAAGCATGACGTGGGCATCGCTTCATTCGCTAGCCGACCTCCTAGCCACATGCTGGACAATTGCCGATCTCCCGCCCTGCAGCCGATGCCCAGCGCAACAAATCTTCGAGACAACAACTTCTTCGACAATTCCACGACGACGCCATGTTTGAAGTGCCGGATGCGAAGCGGTGGGTCGACTCGCTAGTGTCCCTGTTGTCCGCATACTGACCTTTAGGGTTAGGGTTCGCCGCGACGAGCTGCACTCTCCCACATCATCGCCGCGCTCCTCGCCGGATCCAGACCTCGAACAGCTCCTGCGGTCCAGAATACAAAACGAATTCACCTACACCATCGCCACCACCGACGATCATGTCGATGATACCAACGATATCGCGCAAAGCGACCAGGATGAGACAGAGTTGCGTCTCTTCGCTGCGCCCGCAAATGCCGCTCCACAGTCGCATAAGATCCGAATTTCATCTCCAGACGCCGATAGCGGAGAGCCAGGACTGGTTTTGAAGAAACCACGGAGCTATTATTTCGCCGACGAACCCACAAGCGAGGCCGAGGAAGAGTTCAGAGCGGCGGCCATAGAGGGAAGGAGCGTCCTGGAGCTGTCGCAGCAGCCATGGCCTGGTTGCGCCTTGCCGTGGAAGGTACGCAAGATATCACCGGCTGGCATGAGTAGAGAGGTGCTGGTTGGCCATCCTCCCATGCTGGTCCTTGTCCAAGACAAGGCAAACAAGCGCATAAGAAAGGGCAAGAAGTCCCGCATAGCCATTAGAAAGAAGTTACAGGAAGCAAAGGAGAAGGAAAGCGAAGCAGCACGTCTTGCACGGGAGAAGGAGGAAGCCAAGCGCGAGAAGAACACACGGAGGAATCGAGAGAAGAAGCTCAAGCAGAAGGCAAAGCAGCAGGCCAAGAGGGCAGCAGATGGCGCTCCTGAAAGCGCCGCAGATGGGATGGATGGTGTGGAAACTACGGCGACTGAGAGCCAACCTGTCGGTGGGGAGTCGACATGAGGCGCGTCAAGGACACCATCACTGTTTCGCCAGCCTCACAGTTAAAGCAGCATCAGATGCAATAGCACGCTGGTCGCAAGCAATAGTCACTCGACTGGACGGGTACCAGGATGGTGCGAGTGATGCACGTATTTCACTCGTAGCCACAAGGCTACCTTTACCTCTGTCTAACTCACGCTAGCCAACTACTGCAATCGTCGACTATATCTACTCTGTTTCTCACCGTTTCTACTTACTTGCCCTTCACGGCTTACTTGGACTGCCAAAATGGATCACAACCACGTCCGAGACAACATGAACTCCGACATGCCTTCAGGCTTCGATCAGCAGTACGTTCCCATAGATCCCAATCTTGAGGACAGGTTCGCTCCATCCGCTCGAAACCACATGTACCAAGAATCAGCTCAGCATTACAACTATCAAGAACATCAGCCGACTGGCTACAATGCGGTCATGCCCGATGCTGTGCCGTGTGATGCCTATTGTACAGGCTACGAAGGGCCGATGACACCTGCTAGTACAGCAGACCATCTTGAACCGCATGATGATCAGTTGCATGGCGTTTTCGAAGTCCCGGATGAACATGCCACCAACACCCAACAACAAGAAGGGACTGAGTATTCATCAGAGTTCTGGCGGACTTTGGTAAGTTTTGAGGTACCTGATTTCAGACAAACTTCTGTCGACAATATACCTGGCCTCCAAGCCCTACGCACGGCCTACCTCAGTCTCTATGGCCCCCAATCAACAGCCACAAACGCCACTCGCATACAGTACGCCAAGGCCTTTGGTTTTGCCCTGCTCACGCACTATCACCCGGCTTCGCAAGGCTACACTGTGGTGCCGACTTCACCCGGACCTATGTCAAAAACAGGGATGAACTTTTTCCTGGCTGCCGACGACGAGTCAGACATCTGGAAGGATATGGGCAAGAAGAAGGCCAGCAGCACCAACAAGGCCAATCGACGGCGAGCGCCGACAAAAAGAGATCTTGAAAGGGCCAAAAGGGCAGAACAAGTTGCCAAGGTAGCAGAGTACAACCATGGATTTGCATACATGGCGAACCTGCAATGGGACTATATCCCGCCTCAGGACATCGCCGCTTTCGTGGTCATGTGTAAATTAGAAGTCAGAGATGGGAACACTGGCATGGTGACGTACAAACAGCACCCACACACCTACCTCATCATTATGGTTGACAACTTCGATCAAGTCCCACGCGTCTCAAGGGAAAACACAGTCCATCGCAGTGACATTCTAGCGGACGCGCTATGCCGAGGCGGCAAGGTCCGGAACGGTCACGGCATGCTTCTCTATGGGCCCCGGCTTGAGTGCTACACCTTTGACCGTGGAAACGAGTGGGTTTGCCCTGATAGCGATGATGAAGAAGATGAGCAAGAACCTCAGGATATTGAACCTAAGATGGAGGTGCTACAATCTGGCGGTCAAAATATCGATTTCGATATGCGTGCCACGAGCTTGGAAATAGTCGATGTGGCCTTCAAGGACATGGCTGTGAGGCAGGTGGTGTACATGTCTGAACCAATCCTCGATGCAGAAGAGGCTGTAGATTTTGTAAAGATTGATGAAGAGATGGACGAGCAAGGACACTGCAGTGGCTTGAGAGGCGAAAAATTCATCTAGCTGACTAACCCTGGCGATTGCTCTCCCAAGGTAAACAAAACGTTGCCCTATATCACGATCAATGATCCTTCTCCTACATACCATCTTCATGCTGATGGGAGAGTCGCGCTTGGATGATTGTAAGCGCCCAATAGCCGACAAGCCATATCTTGCTCGCGGACAGTACTCCGATACCTGCCACAACGCGGGCTACGGGACCGTCCGTTCGCTAACCAGCATACCGGTCGATCGGGCTCAAATAAGAAAGGGCCGAAAGGGTGAAATGCAAGCAGGTAGTTATTGTAACTTTGCAGTTTATGGGATGCTGAAACCTGATCATACTTTGCTGCTGGATTTGGTAGTCCCATACCGAAATGTAAAGTAAGCGTAAATTTCGCTTCGTAACTACTTCGACCCACTATCAATCCTGTTCATAGCCTCATAAGCCTCTTTCGCAATGCCTTTCACTTCCTCCGTTAAACCTTCCAATTCAGCAAGTTCTCCGAACCTCTTCTTCCAAAGCGCCCATCGTTTCTTACTAAACTCTGGTTTTCCGTGCCACAGCGGTCCACCGCTACCAGGATTGCCCTGCGTTGCTCTTTTGGGGGTGAGATCGTATTCCCTTTCATAAACCTGCCTCCCCGCGGCGAAGATCCACACTGCGGCAGAAGGGATCGTAGCGTTGTATTTCTGTATCGCTGTACCTGGGTGATGAGCTCCATTCGGCACATCATCCTCATGTGGGGTCTCGAGTGCACTACGCATCTCCCAGATACAGTAGATCCAGAAGTTACTAACTTTCTCAACCGTCAGGAGAGCGTAGAAATAGAGCATGTTGGCGTAGGCATGTACTTCGGGAAGAAGGTATCCGGAGCCACAGCCGGGGGAGTCGTTCATGGTCTCGCGGGCATCCCAGCCAAAGCCGCGTAGACATGTGTATATATCTGGGTCTTTGGCTGTTGGAGGTGGAAAGCTGGATTTTATAGCCTTCATAAGAACGACGAGTTTGTTGAGACCGACAGTGTCTCGGAAAGGGAGCCGTTTTGCTGAGTGGATTATTGAGATCCAGAGATTCCCGAAGTTCAGGTCTTTCCTGTTCTGTAGAATAGCGTCGTTGATGGGTGTAAGGAGTTTCTTTGCGACGTATTCTGCCTTTGTATTGCTGCTCATGTAGTCTTGCACGATTGGATAGGATTTACCATCTCCGTCCAAGGCTGGTGCAAAGCATCTTCGATTTTTCATAATGATGTCGATCTGGGTAGCTTCATCTTGCACGTTGGTGATGGCGTTGATAATCTCGCGCTCTCGAGCTTCCTCTTTCTGCTCTCGGGCCTGTCTTTGTTCTTCTGGTGACATCCTTATTCGAGATCTTTTTTGGGAGGGAATTGGGGTTTTCTATATGTCGGAAGCGGCGATATCATTCAGGAGACATATAATTTAGAAGTTGAAGTACGCCCTTCAGCCCTTCAGGATGCCGTTTCCAGGTGCTAGCTTGTGGCGATATGCACATACGTGCGTATGCAGTGGAGATCTGCCATGAGATTTTTCGAATACTGCCCCGCCGTGTTCAAGGTTAGTGGAGGTGAGTAAGCTATATTAGTTTCGGCCCAGGGTGTTGTTATTGCTTGTATGGCAGCCCAGAAGCTACACACAAATGATGAGAAAGTCTTACTTCAACCCGTATTTCATAATTGAGTAGAAGTATAGTTTCACGATGTTTCAAGATGCAGGACGACGCTCGGGTACATTGCTTTACATGAAGCGGTCGGTCAGCGTGCATAATTTCCCCTGTCGAAACTCGGCCTGCAAATGTCTAGTGCACGAGTGAGAGCCCGTTGGTAGACGCGTCTGTAGTTTTGACAAATATTGCGCATGTTAACATGAAGACAAAGCATCACGTATAGTAGAGGAGCGTATCGGGTGTGGTGAAGAAACGTTCGTGGGTTTGGGTGGTTGGTAACTCCAGGGTCCTCGCTCCCAAACGCCGAGTAAATTGGAAACAGCGACCCGACCGCGACCCGACTGCCTCGCACCACCACTAATCACCAACACCCATACGCCTGCATAAAGGCCTTGAACACTCACACCGGTCGCCAAAACATACGATTTGGGACAACGACATAACTATGTCGTCCTATCTTAATAATCTCCTCACAAATACAACATCGCGCTACAACAACCTCCGACGGCAGATCCTATCCGACGAAGCAGACGGCGATACAGAAGACGACTCGCATCTTTCCAGAGTTCTTCGCGCGTATTACACGGAGAAAGGAAGACCGTTTCCACAATGGCTTCCACCGGACCCAAAGGCGCCGCAGCCTGCGCCCGCCCAGTTTGCATCTTCTCAGTTCGCGTCTTCTAGACAGCAGGCACAGGCACAGCCAGCGGGCAGAGGAGGAGGACTGAGCGATCTATGGGACAACCCTGCGCCGCAACAACCACCGCAAGAGCCTCAGTCACTTCGACGAGGAGCAGGAGGACGGGGTGGAGCAGCGCGCCCACTACAAAGTCGGCCCATGGGCAATTCGTTGACACCAGAGCCTCAAATACAAGGGAGGCCACTACCCAGTCAGAGAGCAGGGAGCTATCAAAGCTCGTTGGGAGGGCGTCCACAGACAGAAGCCTCACCACCACCAAGTGCAGGGGCAGGATCAGGTACATCGGCACAGGAAAGGCTCAAGGCCAGGTTATGGGGACGATCACAAAGTCCTGCCCCACGTGGCCTGTCTTCAGAGTCCGCCAACTCACAGTCGGCACAGGGTGGACGCCCATCCTATCCTGACGATCGAAGCAACAGCTATGGAAGCACTGGCAGTGCTGGTGGGAGACAGCAGGGCTCCTTTGGCGGCATGTCTTCGAATTCTCCATGGAGCGGGAACGACGACCCTTACGCGCCACAGAATGGAGGATACGGCGGTGGCGCACCTCCACCGCAACGCGGGCCACAAGGTGGACGTATGGGCCTGCCGAGCGGACCGCGCATGCGTTGATCATGTTCTTATTGCATTCAGCACGGCGCAACGGAGTTGTGTCTTGGTCGTTACTGGGTAGGCAGCATCGGTTTTGTAGACTTGACAGCATGGCGCCCGTCACATAACAGATGAGCCCTTAATATAAATACAACCCACTCACAGTTGCCTCGAAATCCCATGTATGTCCAGAGTTGCTTTACCCACATGTCGCAGCTAGAGCACATTACTTGATTCGATAGAGGGGCGACGCGTTCCCCGCGTGGCGTGTTGCACCGCCACAGCGCGTCATCATCGAGCATCAATCACCTGGGCACTCGCACCTACAACATCTGAAGCGCCAAACACCTACGCGCATGTTTTCTGCCCTATACCTATATTGCTCGTGAATATTCTCTGCATATGATATCTGACTGTCTTGCTTTGACCTCATCATTAAACCTCAACACCGCGTCTGTAGGACGCCGCCTAGCCCCGCATGACTTCCTCGGCCCCTGGACCGCCATCGCCGTCGGCCAGCTTCTACGACTTGAGTGACGATGAAGAGGGCGAATACAACACGATCCGACATACTAGCAGTGGGAAGGGTGTGAAGCTGTTATACACAAAGAGCAAAGTATGTATAACCTACTTTGACGCGACACCATGCAGTCAACCTAACATGTGCAGGTATACGTACATCCCTCGCCTTCCTCAAAGGACAACATCCCAGGCTTTGTCGCTCTAGTGCAGCAGAAGTCCAACCGAACCGCCGGTGATGCGCGTCCAACCTCATCCTCGTCCGCTCGAAGCGTGAACGCGTCATCGCTGCTCCTCGCTTGGATACCAGAGTCAAACCTCGGCGATGCATACGATACATACGTAAAAGTTGACCTGTCCGACTCGTCGTCACCACCAAGGCAGTCATACCTTGTGCCTCCGCCTCCCACACCATCCACTCACGCCGGAACTCCCGGCTATGCATTCGCGCTGCCTGTCAGCGAGATATACTCCGTCCTCATACGGCCACCGAGCATCGGGTGGTGGTTTGGAAGCGTCGTCATCAACACTCGGGCTGGTGACAGCTTTCCTGCGCTCTTCTTCCACGATAGCGAGTGTCAGTCTACCATCATGCAGCGGAAGAAGTTGGCCAAGGAAAGCTTCGATCCGTTTGGCGATGGCGGAGGCATGTTCTGGGGCGGCGACGAGGTACTGAGATGGCTGAAGAGATACGTCACAGTTGAACGTTCTGGAGCCGATCCGAGCATATACCTTATCGACCCTTCAGAAGACGACAAGAAATCCTTTGGCAAAGACGTCGCACCAAGGAAGAGCACCGAAGGCAAGACAGACGCGTCGTCTTCACAGCAGACTGGCAAACGAGACGGTGGAATGGATCCGGTCACAAAGGCACTCAAGGAAGCTAGATGGAACTTCCTCGAAAAGCTCAGCCAAGTCACAACGTTCACGCGGAGGACTGCCCAGGCCGTGGCAGACAACCCCAAGATCCCTCCTCAGGTTAGGCGCCTGATACAGAACCCCGAGGTACAGACGTTGCAAGAGGAGTTTGACAGCGCACGGCTATATCTCGCAAGATGGGCTATGGGCATTGCGGAACAAAGCGAGCGTGAGCGAAACCAGCGAATCTGGACAGCGAAAGATGTTCTGGCCATGGAAGAAAGTGATGTTGGTGACTTTGAGATTCTTGATATGGACAAGATGACCATGGCCGACAGAAGACAACCAGTCACTTTGACCGAGTGGAAAGGCTTCTTCGATCCCAAGGGACGGCTCCAACTGACGCCAGACGAGGTCAAAGACCGAATCTTCCACGGAGGCCTAGATCCTGATGACGGCGTAAGAAAGGAGGCATGGCTGTTCCTTCTCGGAGTATACGAATGGGATAGCTCAGATGAAGAGCGACGCGCGAACGTCAACAGTCGGCGAGATGAATACATTCGACTCAAGGGTGCTTGGTGGGAGCGCATGGTTGAAGGAAACCAGAACGAAGAGCAAGAAGAGTGGTGGAGAGAACAGAAGAACAGGATAGGTATGTCCCCTTGCGCGTTACACGCTTGCCTGGAAGTTGGCTGACTTGTCCCATTCTATGGGGTCCGTTGTGTAGAGAAAGATGTACATCGCACAGACCGCAATATCCCAATCTTCGCCGGCGAGGACATTCCTCATCCCGATCCCGACTCGCCTTTCGCGGACGTGGGCACCAATGTTCATCTGGAGCAGATGAAGGATATGTTACTGACATACAACGAGTACAATAAGGACCTTGGCTACGTTCAGGGTATGAGCGACCTGCTTGCGCCCATCTACGCAGTCATGCAGGATGACGCCGTCGCATTCTGGGGCTTTGTTGGATTCATGGAGCGTATGGTATGTTCCAAGATGGACGAAATTTCAGTCTAGACATAGCAGTTAACATGCATACAGGAGCGCAACTTTCTACGAGACCAGTCGGGCATGCGCAAGCAGCTCATGACTCTCGATCACCTCGTACAGCTCATGGACCCCAAGTTGTATCTTCATCTTCAGTCTGCCGAGTCAACAAACTTCTTTTTCTTCTTCCGCATGTTGCTTGTATGGTACAAGCGCGAGTTTGAATGGGCAGATGTACTGCGGTTGTGGGAATCGCTCTGGACCGATTACCAGAGCAGCAATTTCCACATCTTCATTGCACTAGCTATTCTGGAAAAGCACCGAGATGTCATCATGGCACATCTACAGCACTTTGACGAGGTGCTCAAGTATGGTAAGCTACGAAATCAAACGATCTATATTGGCTGTGAATGATGCTAACACCAATGTAGTCAACGAACTATCTGGTACTATGGATCTCGAATCAACGCTCGTTCGCGCAGAGTCACTTTTCAAAAGATTTCAACGAACGGTAGAGACGATCGACAAGAAGGGTAACTTCCCTTCTGCACCACAAGCGCGACAACGCAAGTTGGCTGCTGCAGTCGTGGCCGGTCCGGGACCCAATACGGTGGCAAATGCATCGAAATCGAAAGACCAGGCGGTGGCCTCGGGCACAGACAAAGGAAAACAGGTCGGCGAAGAGGAGCAGGAGGCGAGAGTCATCAGCCCTGAGCTACGCGCACTACTGAGTAGGAAAGTAGAGAAGCTCGACAAGCAGACCATCTTGGAGCATGGTGGTGGCGTTGGCAAGTAAACCCACTCCGGATACTCTTATGGAATTATTGAATGGCGTTACGGTCTGGTAGGATACATTGGCGAGGTTTTTAGGGTTGCTTACGTTCAACGAGGCACTGGCAAGATTAGATACAACTGCGATCGGCAACATCGCATCTCCACGTTCATCATTCACGTCGTTTTTCCCCCTCAAACGTTGGCTACACACGATATGCTCTATGCTGCTTCACCGTCAGCAATACTGGCGACGCATGCTTCATAGAACCCGCTGCTATGTTTGTTTTCCCATACAATGAACGATTGCAATTGTAAGTCCTTGCACTCACATGTCTAGTTCGCATATTGCACTTCACACAGAGTTCGACCGCTTCACACCGACGATCGCCAACACTACGTCCACACGGTAGAAGCAAACCACGATTCGTCACCTATTAGAACCTACAGGACGACAAATACGGTAGTACCAGACCTTCAATGAACTATATCAACCACTTCATCAATCGTTACTCTCCAATTCGTCCGCACAACGATTTGCGTCCTACCCAGTCTTCCAACGGCCCTGCTACCTCTCCTCGTCATTGTAGCTCTTGTTCGCAATCTCAACATCGGCGCAAGCACCGTCACCGCGAGAAGATGGCGTCCTTCAACGGCCCCTGGTCCAGCGACCTCGACACCTTCAAGAAGTCAGTGCAGTCGATGCCAGATCAGTACAAGTCCTCTTTTGCCAATGCGTCCAAGTCTACCCTGGAAAAGGTCTGTGACCCGAAAGTTCTCCACATTTGGGAATCCAATTCCGATGCCGATGGTCTTCTGCAACTTACTTCGGTCATTGCTAAATTGTGCGACCTGGGGGTGCGCAAGCACAAAGGCGCCAATGACGGTGATGGTAGTATGCTGATCATTGCCGAAGAAAGCCGGTCTCGGAACGGCTTTGGTCGAATTTGCCAATTGGTGGAGTATCTGACTGGGGCTGACGGCAAGAGACATCTCGAAGGTACAGTGGTGGTGTTTAGCAAGATAGTGGTAGCGAGGGGATGGGATAACAGCATTTTATCCGGACAGGAAGAGGCGCTTGTTAAGACAGTGAAGAGAGTTAATACGGCAGTTGAGCGCGTGTTGAAAATGAGTGGGTTGAAGAAGATTGTTTGGCATCACGGTGCTGTGCTACACTTCTTGCTCCAGTGGATCAACATCACGACATCCTCTTTACGATCTGCTTTATCTGCCATCACCATTACAGGATCTCTCAATCTCACGGAATGTATCGCGCCTTCCGCTGCTGGGCGCGCGAATACACTGCCAGATCTGGAGCGCTTAGAGCAATACGCGAAGAAATTAGACATACCAGTTGTCTTCCTCGATGCACCTAGCCAACTACTTAACTTCGAATATCTGGGCACCTATATTTACTACTACGGTTACTACATCAACACTTTTTTGCCTAACTCGTTGGCCCGCTCCCATCTTCACAAAGCGCAAGATGAACTTATCACGTTCGCTTTTAGGCTACGAAGTGCGAGTGAAGGCCGATACGGTAGTGATGTAGTCAAGATGGTGCAGAAGCATCTCGATGCGAACAAGGCGAGACACTGGGCCAAAATGTGCGTTAGCAAAGAAAGCTACGAGAAGAGCAAATGCAGAGCAGCTGGCAAAGATGAAACGATTCATCATGCTGTTCAGTTAGCTGATAGCCCTTTCGCTCTTCTAGCCTCTGGTGCTGGGGTACCAGCATTTGCACGACTTTCGGTTGGTCCTGCATGCGCATCTACACAAGACTACTACACCGCAGCGCCTGTCAAAATTGCTTTTGCTAAGGTCAGGATTCGGCCTACTAGTCCTGCCACTTTTCACGTCCTCATTCCACAATCCTCTCAAGATCTCGAGAGAGTCACAAATCGCATACAAGGACTCATGATGGCCGTCCTAGAACGCGTAAGGCAGGAGAAAGGCAACCCAGTACTCAGTGACACAGAGAAGGGAATGTGGGATGCTGTTGTCAAGGCATGTGAATGGGCGATTGGGGGTTGTGACGAAAGCAATATGCCCAAGGGTATGGCGAAGAAAGTCGGATTCGTCAAGGGAAAGTTGAGAGAGGGAACTTGGGGCTTTGCGCTAAATCCACCCAAAAATCGAGGTGTCGCTGCGACGACCAACACCAATGCAGGAACGGCGATGCTGGAGCCGAATCGTACGTATGGGTTTGGGCAGAGCACGCAGCAGACTAGGGGATCGCATTCGACATATACTGGAACCCAGCAACAGCAGATACCACAACATGGTTGTGGGGCCGGACTACCACAGGGTCTTTTGCCTAGTCCTGTCCAGGGTATATCGTATGCTCAGCAGGTGCCTTCCCAGATGCCAACACAAGGTATGTATGCTGGTGGTCAGGGGCAGGCTCGAGGTCAACAGTATGGCAATCATTGCTTTGGAGGCGGTCAAGCTGCAGTTATACCATCGCGTCATGGATTTGGACACGGTGGAAGCGGTGGTGGAGGACATCCACAGAGTATGGGCGGACCTTGGTGATACTGTCATACAGGGTTTATGAAGTCCGATCAGTTTCTTGCTACCGTAAGGCGATGCTCTATAGGAGGAGTTTCAATATTTGTTTGGCTCTACCAGAATAGAATGAGTCGATTGGACAGAAGGCTGACCGATGACGTGGAGTGACCACCTATTAGTAGGTCGACGGGCGGCGATGCGTCTTCCAAGGTTTACCCGCCTGCGCATTGCTTAATGTGAACACGTCGCGACCTCTTTGAAGCAATTCAGTTTAATATTTCTGTTACTTCAACCATCAACGCATGATATTCTTTTGTGGACGTTTGCTCCTGTGCAAACAGAAGAGGAGTACGTTCCGATGTGCCGCAATCACACGTCTCCCCATCCTCGCAACGTCACCAATAGCGCATCATGGCTACCACCTTGGATCGGTCTCCAGAGCTATCCAAAGACCGCGAGGGAACATCAACGTATTCAGCGTTTAGCGTATGTGTCAAATTTAGTAAGGATCTCATTTACATTCTCAAGGATTCGTTGAGCCTCAACAACGTAAACCATAGACTGTAGAGAGCGAAACGCAAGAGCACTCTGATTGCCGAGCTATACCACACTTCTTAGATCCTGAGTTTTTCAGTCAATGCCAGCACATTCAATTGCATACGCAGGCCCTTCGGCCGAAACCATATCATTTTCAGGGCTGGGATCATTGATACTCTGGCGACTATACGTGTTAGAAAAGTAAAGAACTGGATATTTTCGGTCTCAGTAATTTCTAAAGTGTTCATCTCTTGTTGATGCGCGACAAATGTGTTATATGGGCTGGGAACTACTGGCAGACTATCTGCAGCACCACTGGGCTAAAACGGATTTGGAGAAAGTACCTGGTAGTACAGTTATGCGACAGCAATCAGGGCGACATGTCAAGCGTAACTATGAACGGTAATATGCTTGAAAGACGCTTGCTACGCTTAAAGTTGGCCTGATGAGAGTTATCTGCATGTGATCTCTTCTTACGATGCGTAGCAATCATGGTCATGTTATAATGTGCTCTCTGCAAGCAACATATATCACCACTATATTCGAAGCGTTCTTCTAGCATGCCTCCAAAGAACATCAGCACCGGCGCATACTGGAAAGAAGACCCTACCGACGCGCCACACAGAGACGTGGAAACGGATTTCGAAACAGGCGAGTCTTCCGAATCCGAACCCCCTACCAGTCACAAGAAATTCACCACTTCCGATAATCTAGAAGATAATCTTGTCACAGTAAGTCACGATAGTACGCCCAGCTCTACCGCCAGCGATGTTGCACTGAAGGCTCCTTTTGAAGATACCATGGAAGCGCAAAATCTTGACCGTCAAGGACGGGAACAAGGTCTAAGTAACCAAGAAAAAAAGGAAAGACCGGTAAATATGCTGGGCAACGGTACTAGCGATGGAGATGCGAAGGAGACAAGCAAGGATAATGAGGATGATGGTGAGAACCGAAGTGAGGGAAAAGGCAAGGGCAAGAAGGTTTAGAAACATGAGGGTACTTGCACCTGACATCCAGGAGCATAGCTATTCGAACGACCTGAATATCTCCTAATTGCGGTCTTAAGTACCAAAAGCGACCAATCAGTCGCAATCTTGCTGTTCTTTGATGGGAAAACCAGGGCTAGTCTCTTTGTTGCTGAGAGCATTTATCTCACGTTCTGCGCAAAAGTTTGCCTAGAATTGATACCTGTATGACTGACTGAGATACAATCGAAATGAAGAAACTCAAATTGCTTGAGCTTCCAGGACGCGTTCTAAAACTATGTGTGTCTTCGCCGAAGGGAACAATGGGCAGGCATCTCGTTCTCTTCGCTTTGAGTTTGCATTGTCTACGTGTAAGAACAATGCATAGGCCGCTTCTTGTCTCTCTCTTTGACCTGCTGTTCTCTGCACATCTTAAACAAATGCATAGAAGACTGGCAAGAACAATGAAACGAAAACCTCATGGCATGATGCCACGGCGAACGTATTTTAAGAGAATATCGTCTACTCTCGGTCTCTTATACAAGTTAACTATTCGATCTATCTGCTTCATCACATACGACTAAAATATCATTACGATACCTAGGTACACTTATGCAATGGCGCCTCGACAAGGCCCGGATCAAGCGCGACGTCGAAGAGTTGCCAACGCCATAAGCAAGAAATGGAAGATCGAGCGCCAAAGCAAACGCCCTAGAGGCCTTGTTAATATGGGAAACAACTGTTACCGCCATGGAGCCCTACAACCTCTACTTCATCTCCCTAGATTTGTTAATTGGATCAAGAAACATAACAGAGGAAATCACTGGCCTTGCCACGCGAATGACCCAAACCGCGTGCTCCCCTCTGACCCCTTAACGCTACAATTGCTTGAAGATGAGATCAGCAAGTCTAAAAAGAAGAAGGGGAGAAATAAGGACGATGAAGAAGACCTTGAATATAGAGGATGCACTCCGTGTCTATTGAAGAGATTGATGATAGACTATTGGAGTGATATTGATATAGGTGGTCAACCAACCTTCGCACCCAATCCTTTCCCGCACCAACACAAGGCTATATTTCTGTTACATACGTTAGCTGAACGTTGGTACTGTGTGAATCCACCAGGACTCAATGACACAGTCGAGCTCTTAGCTACACAGGCAGAGCAGGAAAGCATAACTCGTGTAGCAAGACTATCCTACATGACAGCTCAGCAAGATTCAGACGAATTTTTACTGAGGATATTTGACGGCATCCAGAATAGTTACGATCCTCAGTGAGTGGATCTTCGTTCCAAGTTCCAATCTCTTGGGTTATCACATATTGACTTTGAACAGTACTATTCATGGAGCAGCGCGTCAAGCTGAATATGATTCACTTTTCCACGTCAGGACTCGTGAAGTCCACACTTGCGATGGTTGTGATGCCACTCGATCCGACAACGTGAATGAGATGCTGGGAATTAGAATCATTCCAGATGCTAATATCATGGACGACACAGTCGAAAATGCCCTTTCCCGGTACTTTAGTGATCCCACAGCCATCTCAGCATCCTCCAGTTGTTCCTGCAAGAAGTACTCGACTCAGTCGATCAGGAGAACGATTATAGCTGCACCTGAGTACCTTCGTGTTCAAATCAATCTTGTTCAACAAGTTTCAGAGGAAAGAAAGGATAAATACGGCAACGTCAAGGTGGACAAAAAAACTGGCGATCCCATAATGGTTGTGAACGTGGTCAAGAATACTAACCCCATATCAATACCTGACACCATTGACTTGACAGCGCACATGGACATCCCAGCAACAATCCAGAACCCTTATCCAGTACAATATAAGCTCGTATCTGCCACCTATCATAGCGGTGCCAGTTTCAATGCAGGTCACTACACAGCCGGCGTCACTGGCCCGGCGCTTCCATTCCGAGCCGAAAGAGCGCAATTCTTCTGCAATGATGCGGCCATTACCGATCTGCCGCCGACTGATGCTCATCCGAATGCAATTACGGAAAATCCTATGCAAGGGGACTTCAATGCTACTACTCTCTACTATGAGAGAATCACGCCTAAGAGTATACCTATGAAACGCAGCTAAAGAGCGGAAGACGGCAAATCAGACAGTTATAAATGAGAGGAGGGCTAGTAGAAAAGTCACTAGTGATTCTAGAAAAGAGACATAATCAGGAGACAAAAGTGGTTCCATGGGGAGATCAGCTGTAAGATGTTGTATCAATCGTCTTAATATAGTTCAGAAAGAGCTCTTACATTACTGGTCGTCAAATCTTTGTTTAGTTGCTATATTCCTATCACCACGTATTTCAGACTTCCTCTTTACTTTTGCGGACTGGAAGAATTCTCCGTTCATACTTGATGCGTGAAACTTTTCTGAACTAAGAAGACAAACGCCTACGCAAAGTACTCCTCATGCCCTTGCCTCTCGACTAACATCCGGTAGCTCAATAGCGACTTCCTGCACTGGATCAAATATACTGCTAATTTGCTCCAAAGAAAGACCCTTCGTCTCTGGCACATAGAAGAAGATGAAGTTAATAACGACGACCAGAACACCAATATAGACCAAGTAGTACTTCCAAGCAATCTTATCAATGGCAACCGGATTTACAAACTGATTGAAGGTAATTGATACCGCTTGGGATACCCAAAAGACACTGGTGCCTTTTGTTCGGAGATGACTTGGCCAGATTTCATTGACGTAGAGGATCGGTATGGGCGTCAGACCAATAACGTAACCGCCGAAGAAAAGAAAGAGGAATACGATCACTGCATAGCCAGCAGAAGTGGAGCCTGTGGCTGAGTATAAAGCCGAACAGATCGTTATCAGCACCATGAAGACTAGCATCAGGCCAGTGGATGTCAGAAAAAGGCGGCGTCGACCAGCCTTCTCGCATAGGAGTGCGGCACCGCAAGCTAAGAACCAGACGTATATCTGAAGCCCACCATTGATGCCTTGTTGGTGGAGAGAGTTGGTGATTCCGACTGTTCGTAGTACCGGTGCCAGGTAGAAGCTGTGAAATTATGAGTAGGTTATCCTTTTGTACATGCATTTGTACACACCTGATGATTCCGTTTCCAACCCACTGTGTGGCCACGGCTATGACAACAGACAGAACAAGGCGTTTGCGGTTGCCTGGGGTCGAAAGTAACGCCAACCATCCAGTTGTATTATTATGGGCCTCAGCCGCAGTCGATGCACACATCCTCGCAAACTCAGATGATACCAGCTCATCTCCGTCGTGACCGTTGGCATGATATCTTATCATGATAGATCTGGCCTTCTCCTGCTTTCCATGTCGTACAAGCCACCTGGGTGACTCTGGACAGAATATTATCAAACTCAGCTGTGCCAGTGACCAGAACAGCTGGATAGCAACGGGTAACTTCCACGACCATGAGCCCCGTATTCTCAAAGCTCCGTAAGATACCCAAGCGGCAGTGATCGAGCCGATGAAATAACAGGTGTTGAAGAGCGCACCAGCAACAGCTCTTTGGCGTGGATGCGCAAGTTCGACAAGTAGAGCCGAGGATGAGATCGTGTTGGAGATGCTGGAGAATCCAACGAGTATACGCATGCCAAGGAATTGATCGAACCTTGTACAGAATATCTGTCCCGTAAAGCCAGCTATCATACCAATGTTGCCAAAGATAATTCCGACGCGACGGCCGTACTTGTCGGATAGCCATGGCGCTGGGAAGAAAGCGGCGATGCAACCCATAGACTGAGCAGCAGTTACTAATCCGAGTAACTTGGGATGGGAAAGTCCTTGTATATCTTGAAAGTATCTGGGGTTGGCGATGAGATTGGAGATGAGAGAACTGATGTAGCCATTGGCCATGGCACCAATGTAGCATGCGAGAAGCAGGAAGTTGAGTCTCCGCATTCCAGAATCTTTCCACCATTGTGGGTTCGTGTTGTTGGCCAACGGATCCATGATGGGTAGGTAGTTTGATGATGCTCGTCTAACTGAGGATGCCCGACACTTATACTAATACATAGGTATGTCAGTACATATGAACGGGTTTCGGCTCTGACACAAGCACTTGGAAGGATGTCTTAACCGGTGGATGTCTGAGCCTTCTGACGTCTTGTCGTATCCAAGTGTCGGTGAAGCCTAAGAAACGGTGATCCTTATCTAGCCGGTGACGCGGTGTAACGTCCCGAGGTCAGGTGCTCACGATCCTTAACGTTACCATGACTCGTAGCATCATACTCAGCCAGTCATTATATGTAGTAGACATGCCATTACCGTGGTACTCTCCGGAAGTTTTCAGACATTGCCACTCCCGCGCACTACTCCGCCATGACTTCCTATTCGTCAGAGCTTGTTAGGCAAGACTATCAGGCCAATCAAGACCCACCCATCCACTCGGGGAATCGGGATACCACAGTGCGATGCAGATATCTTACATGTTCCTGCTCAGATGCGTTGGTTTGAGTTTTTAAGGGGCCGATTGTCGGCAAGATAGGCGTGCTTTTCCTTAGCATACATCCGGACCAACCAGCGTTGTTGAGACACGGACTATGTCTTCGTGGTAAATACCGTTCGGCCTTGTTCTACAGTTGGGAAGAATCAATGAATCAGGGGTTGGTGGAATGTCCTAGAGCTTGTTCGGACTATGCATGTGGTTAAGCAGTAGATGAAGATGCCGAGTACGCGTGGTAGAAAGCGAGGAGTAGAACTTTTGATGATGTTTTGAATTCTGGTATTCTTGAATGTAACACACGTCCCTCTTTATGGTCTTTTCGTGACCGGGTATCATATCGCTCGCTCTCGGTGCCGCTGTGCTTTGCGTGCGATTCCGTACATTTTGCTTGCCATGTCTGTTTGGTCTTACAACCCTTCCTCTTGCCGTCGACTCTCATGTCATGGACCTCAAGCCTTATTTTCTACCTCATTGCCCTGCTGCCATGCAAGACTCCACCTTCTCTTCAAAACATCTATACTCTCCTGTGTCGACCTGCCCTTCTCTTTCTCTTCGCGATTTATCCGTGTAAAGGCCGCAGCGAGACCGATCGATATGGCGAAAAGAGGATCGAGGCGTCTACACAGACTGTCAGCTCATGGAGCAGGTTGGATGAGAGTGATCGACTCACTTTGATATTATGTACTGGATCGCCATGATTGTGGGGTTCTTGGATACTCTTTTGGAACAATGCGGTCGACTGCTTGTGGTGGTGTGGATGTTGTTCGTTCGCTGCAGAGATGGAGCAAATGTGAGAACCCGACGTAGGTGGCAGTTCCTGAAAGGGCAGGATTCCGTGTTGAAGTCTCGATAAACTTCTCCCAGATCACATCCGTCGACGATCCACTGCACCTGCATTTGCTGTGGTCCGTGCCTACCGCCGGCTTGGAGCTTCCCCACGCGGCTGCCCCATATGCACTACTCCAGCAAGCACGCTTCTAGGAGCGCTTAATGTAAACATGGCAGAGTGTTGCAGAAGCTACTAGTGCACTCTACGTTGCCATGCATGTTTTCCATGTAGCAAGCCTTGAAAGCAGTCACCGTGCTCTGAGGCTGACCCGATGTCTTGTGAGGCGGGTGATGGCGTCATGGGTTTCAGGCCGGAGGAGCCGCAAGTCACGCTGCTCCATCAGGCACTGATAGCGCTTCACGCGCTACATACGAGACGTCACAGATTGGGTCATGTGAAGATAATGGTCTTGGATTACATCCGGTGCATTTGGGCTGAAATATGATGATCAAACTACAGGTACAGCGCAAGGGAAGAAGACAATCTATCCGACCGCCACCCTTGATATTCGTAGAGCTTGGTCTCGAGCGAATGCCCGATCTAGCTGCCTTGTGCTTGATCCGCCTCATTCTCAGATAGTGTTTGCCTTGCGCTGAGTAATAGGGAGTCTGCCGTGGCACCGAATCGCCCATCAAGAATACCCATCAATCACCCAGCCCATGTAGTGTTGCCATGAAATGATAAAGAAACCCGTGATCCGATAACGCCCGTGAGTTCGCCGCGGCCTTGATGGCCGATAGATAAGGGGATGCGGGATGGAGCGAGCTCTCTAGATGGCCTCGCCGAATGTGTTCTCTCCCGAGTACCTAGAAGTTTGTCAGCAGCTGCTTCGCATTGCGCTGTGGATGCTACGTACGTGATGTACAGGAAACCATCCTCATCCTTGTGCTCCTCATATATCGAGCTCATAAGAGCGGCAGTAGGCGGCAGGACCTCGTCGACGAAGATGAAGATGGCTTTCTCAGGCGACAGCTTAATCCTCTTGCGAATCACGTAGACGAACTGGCCGACGGTCAAGTCGGCAGGGACCAGGTACTTCTTCTTGTCGATGGTCGCGATGTCCGACTTCTCGACCTTCTCGCAGATTACCTACGCGTTGTTAGCTGTTGCGCGTGGCAGAGCAGATGAAGAGGCCAGAGGCAAACGTACGGGAATGCGGTCGTTGTACTTCTGGCGAATGCGCTCCGCCTCGGCCTTGCGCTTCTCGAACGGGTGCTCGTCCTTAAACTTGGAACGCATCTTGGGTGATGATAAGGGTGCTGTGTATTTGTATGTGAGTGTGTACAAGTGGGCAGGCGAAAGTGTTGTCGGGTGTGTGGATGGTAATGTAGGACGGTGAGGGTGCGGGCGGTGTGGGAGTTTAAGGGCAGGCAGCAGAGCGGGGCGAATCACTTGCAGCACTGCCTTACATAACCTTGGTACTTGACCAACGCCCAAAGTCACTGAACCATGCAACTGACATCCAACGCTTCACGCGCCCGCCAGGTGCGACTTTGCCTTGAGACAGTGCAATCAACCCTCTTCCGTCATTCCAGTACAGCCCTTCTCGCCCACCAAGGGCGAGCTGACTCTTCTATGGCTGTGCTGACCGCTTCGCGCCTACCGTGTTGTCACTTGTTCAGCTCCCATGACCTAGCAATACCCGAATGTATGCCACTGTTGACTCATCTTGCGACTCCAAGCACCGCCACTCTAGATACGTGCCGTGACAGTACCCCGGGCTTAAAGCAGGCTGCACTTCTCCCTCGTTCGATGTTACGCTACAACGCGTTCGACGGCGCGTTCGCTGGCATCATAGCGCGTCCAGGAGCACCTTGCTGCTCATGGCGGCGTGGCTGTCTCTTCGAATACTCTTTAACGTATCAAAACGCGAATGGATATACCTCATAGACTGTACAACTCTGTTCAAGACATAGTAGTAGTAGCAGTCACTGATTTGCTCGGGCGGTATCCGCCAGCGAACTATCGCTACCGTACACTGCGCGCTTACAAATGATCGCCTTCCGTGTCCCAACTTGATGTAAGGCGTCAATAGTATGTTTGGAAGTATCTGCGAGAACCTCAGGTATTTCCTCACTGCTATGGTTGACAGTGGGCAAGTTTGCCGTATTTGTATGATGCAGGTACCGATACCGCTAGTACCGAGGAGCTCCACTGATGATGCGCCCACCGTGGTGTGATGCACGACAACTTTCCGCAATATCTAGCCTCTCTCACACACCCAATATAAACCAATTCACAACTCCAACACTCCTCCCATGATTCCTGCATGGTGAATCCCTCCTACATACCCCACCTGTCCGCCATGCGTCCATTCCGATCCTCGTTCCGCATCTCAAGAGCTCTCGAGCTTCCCCACAACTATGCGCCGCAACGAACTCTGCGCCCATATCACATCCGCAACAGGCAATTTCACTGTACTCCACGTCGCCGGCTAGACTTACCCTCAGGCAAGAAGCCGGAGAAACCGGACCCTCTGGAAGAATGGCGTAATCCTCCACCGAGCAAATGGCCGAACAGGATACGGTTGCTATTTGTACCCTTCATTGCGGCTCTGATCTATTCCATGGTACATCAAGACCAGTGATATCCTTGTGTTGCAAACTTTATTGACCATGTCACAGTGGACGGACGACACAATCAAAACCGAAGCACCTTCTATCGCCGAGAAGGATGCCCTCCTCAAGCGCGAGAATGGCGTCTCCGAGCAGTCACCGATGCGCCTGCGAATGGAACAGTTCATAAAGCAACACCAGAAGGAAATTGTAGCTGAACTGGAAAAGGTAGATGGTACCAAGTTCAAGATCGACACATGGCAACGGCCAGAAGGTGGTGGTGGAATTACCTGCATCCTACAGGACGGCAACGTCTTCGAGAAGGGAGGCGTTAACACATCCGTCGTATACGGCCGCCTACCAAAAGCGGCCATACAGAAGATGCGCGTCAACCACAAAGCCCTTGACCCCAATGTCGATTCGCTCGAGTTCTTCGCCGCTGGCCTGTCCATGGTCCTTCACCCTCACAACCCCAATGCACCGACCGTACACCTCAACTACCGATACTTCGAGACTGCCGACGAGACCGGAAACACAAATGCATGGTGGTACGGCGGTGGCTGCGACCTCACACCCTCCTACCTCTACGACGAAGACGCTATACACTTCCACGGCGCTATCAAACAAGCTTGCGATAAGCACGATAAGGCATACTACCCACGATTCAAAAAGTGGTGCGATGAGTACTTCAGCAACAAGCACCGAGGTGAGACACGAGGTGTAGGTGGCATCTTCTTCGACGACTTGGATGAGACGGAGAAGGACCAGGAACAGCTCTTCTCCTTCGTTCAAGATTGTTTGTCTGCCTTCCTGCCTTCCTACTTGCCCATCATCAACAGACGGAAGGACATGCCATACACAGATGAGATGAAGCAGTGGCAGCAGATCCGCAGAGGACGATATGTAGAGTTCAACCTTGTGCACGACCGCGGGACAGCGTTTGGTTTGAACACGCCCGGTGCCCGAGTGGAGAGTATTCTGATGAGTCTACCGCTCACAGCGAGGTGGCAGTACATGCACGAGCCTGCAAAGGGTAGCAGGGAAGAGCGGTTGCTTGAGGTGCTCAAAAAGCCAAAGGAGTGGGTGTAGAGAGCTCCATTGCGGACTTGTACATACATGTGCCACAAGGAAAGTGGTGTCTATGTGCATACAAATGAAAACACTGATTCCCAATCACCTCACTGTTCATGAACACACATGCGAAGACGATGATCTTTTTCTTCAAACATATTTACATTAATACAACTGGTGGCCTGAAAGTGGATTCGCTAATAACCATCATTGATACGGCTTATATGCAGGCCCTCATCATCATATAGCGGTGCCAAAATATACAAGAAGGGTGTGATGAGCCCTATAACGCCACGCTATGCATGCAAAAGCTCACGATCACCGCGTTTCTTGGAAAAGAAGAGGAAAAGCCATCGTATGAAAGTTGAAGCCTGTTTCAATAGGCCCTAACCTTCTTTCCGTCGCCATTGGCGCCAATGTCAGCCTTTCTCTTTCCGAGAACTGAATCCGGTGTGCCTGGTGTCTCTATACCAACACCCTTGCCATATACCTCCTCAAAACAAGTAGCATGGTATATTTTACCACCTACACTCACAGCATCCATCCATACAAAGTCATTGGCCTCTACGTTCCACTGCGTCTCGAACTTGTCCTGACAAATGGGGCATGGCGCCTGCTGTAGTGTGACGTCTTGTGGTACGCTCACATACCGATCTTTGGCCTGCTTCTTTGGTTTAGCGGCACCGTTACCGGAAGAGGCATCGTTGGAGTGGTTCGGAGAAGTCTCATCGACTTCACGGTACTCGATCCATTCCTTCTCAGGAATATACCAACTGCGGTGTACACCTCGCTTACCAGCATCAGGATCCTTGACCTTGAAGTGCCAGTCCATGTGACGTGCCTTTTTCTCTTTGCCTTCGGGTGTGCTCTCAAAGCGACGGCCACATGTGGCGCAGATGTTGGGCTTGGCTTCGTAGAGGCGTGATATGAGATGTAGACGAGGTTTCTTCATCGACGCAGTGGTAAGCTCGATCTGGTCCGTCAAACTAATAGGCGCTGGTGCCTGTTGCGTGGTCGGCTGAGACGCAACTGGAGTTGAGTTCGCAGGCATGCCACCAGGCACACCACTTAAAGCTTTTAGGAGCCATTCGGCTGACCCTAGAGCAGGGGCAGCAGCTGGGGGTTGAGGTGGTAATTGAGGAAGGGGGGTACTTTGTACGGGCGTGGGTGGCATTGAGGGTGGTGCCGCACCAGGTTTGCTGAATTGTGCAAGCAATGCCGCAAGGTTGGCAGTGGGCGTCGCGGATTGGGTCGGTGGGGGAGCCTGAGGTGCTGGCACTGGAGTCGAGACTGGTGGTGGGAAGCCTTGGAAGGGCATTTGAAACGGAGCTGGGGCGGGTACTGAGTTCGATTGTGCTGGGGAAGATACGCGTTTGAGTAGTTCCGCCAAATTCAAAGCGGGTGTATTAGGAGTTGAGGCAGGTTGCGGGGTTGATTGCTGCGGTGGTCGGAAGCCTGCAAGAAGTTGCGCGACGTTTGGTGAAGCACTGCTCGGAGGTGCACCCATCGGAGAAAAGTTGGGCGGATAACCTGGAGGCATTGCTTGTTGTGGCGGATATACTGGCGTAGAAGGAGCAAATGTCGGTGTTGGCGCTGGTGGAGGTGCCAATGCTCGAACTTGTTGGCGTACAGCCTCTAATTGCTGAGGAGGTAATGTCTGTGTATCTAGGATTTGCTTCAAGGACAACAGTGCTGACAACTTTGTGCGTAGAGCAGCATCAGCTGGGTTGTGTGCGAACATGTTCTGTGTTGCACTGATGAGCTGAGTTACTTCCACCTTCAAGTCAGCAAGGTCAACCGATGACATGGGCTGAGCGTGTTGCTGAGGCTGTTGGTATGTAGGTGGTGTGGCTGTGTGAGATGGTGGCCCATACTGAGGAGTCGGAGGTTGTGTCTGGACTAAATGTTAACAGTTGTTTGCAGACAATAATAATATAGACTTACTGGTCGAGCACGTGGGTCGTTAGGAGCAGCATAACGCGGGCCAGTTTGAGGCGGCGTTGACGTACCTCTCCAAGCGACGTTGAGCGACGGAGGACGAGGTGGAAGCGCGTGCTGTGGTCGAATCTGCTGCTGAGCTGCGCGGAACTTAGCCAGTGCATTCTCAATATCCTGCGTCACGTCGGCCTGGAATACAGGACGTGGGTCCATGGACTCGGGCACAGGCATCTTCCACGTCTTCAAAAGGCCTTCCATGTTCTTGCGAGTGTTCTGGTCCATGACGAGATAGGCGTCCATGAAGGTTCTATAAAGGTTGCGACCGATGTAGACAGTGTATGGGGTGCCGACATTCTTGACAATCGAATCAAGAACATAGAGGGCTGGGAGTTTCCATTCAGGGCGTGTCTACACATGTCAGTCATGGGCGGATAAAGTGAGTGCTTGTGGACTGATGCAATTGTTAGTCTGCCAGTATCCAGGACTTACCGATTGGATATGCTTCTGAAGCTCATTGGATATAGCTTCCGCGTATTCTGTGTTTTCCTTGGCGATGAGGGTTAGATTGCTAATCTCAGGTCTGCTGTTCATCCTCAAATCTTGCAAGGCATCCCGAAAGTCGGCAGCCACTTCAGCAGCTGGCAGAGACATGATGGGCAAGAACTGGGGTTAGACAAGAATAGATATGTGCTTTGTTAGAAGAAGAAGGGAAACTTGCGCGCAAGGGGCAGAGTGAGCGGCTGGCTTTGCGGTCGGGAAGTCGCAATGCTGACGATGTCGATGCCAGATGAACAATAGACGATATGCTTCCTCGCTTCTCGACGAACACACGTAATGACAGTGCTTGTGTTGGATACTAGCTATGGCCGCGCCAAATGACGCAGTGTGAAGACTGCGCCGGTACAGCTAGGCAGTAACAAATTCGCTCTCCTCCAGCTACTGCAATCCTCCTTCTGTCTGTATGCCCTTCCTCCTTCAAGCCAACAGTGAGGCGGCAACGCGCGGTTGCAGACGTGTCGCAATAGAGACCTGGAGTCACTCGCAGGCGCCGCGACAGTGCCGAAGCCTATGCAAGGTGCCGTCTGTGTTGGAGCTCGTCAGTTGAAAAGCAGAAAGGCAGCGGCAGTCAGCCTCTGTAGCAAAACTCGTCGCAAAGACTCGTCAAAGTGTCGTGGTGGTGGGGGCCTGAGGATGGTGGTCAGGCGGGTGAGTGGTCGAACAAAGGTGGAGTGGCTGCGGTCTTTGACAGCAGGTCGCGAACAAGCCGGGGCGCGGTTGCGACTGCCAAGCCCGGCCACGGCAAATCGTATCACCGCGCGTCATGGCAGTCGCGCTCCCTGGAACTTTGCTTTCACTATCTCGCGATCGTCCTCTGCCCTCGTCCACCTTTACTGCGATCGGCCACCGTCGAGCGACTCCACATCCTCAGCGCCTATCCATCGATACCCTGATCCCAACGGAACAGGCCGGAATTGTCACTATGGAGGACGTCGAGTTCACCCGGTCGCATTCCAAGTCGCCGCTTCCACAGGCTGGCGACGACCCAGCCGATCCTCTGCGCCCCGAGATTGACGAGGAGAATGCTACTCCAAACCCACCCATCGGTGATCCAGACCAAGATATGGAGGTGACAGAGGACCGGCCTGGCGAGATGCCTGATCAGGACGACATCGAGGCCGGCTTGTCAGACAATGAGTCGGTCCTTTCCGAGGCCCTGGATGACGACCAAATGGACGAGCAGTTTGGTGACTTCGATATCAACAACGTCGCTATCGATGAGCGTCCGGCGCAGGCTATTGACGAAGACAACGTCAAGCAGATTGGTGTACACAAGCGGAAGCGCACTGCGGGAGAGGGTGAAGAACCAAAGAAGAAGAAAAAGAGAGCCGAGAAGCCACGCCGGAAGAAGAACAAGGACGGCGACGATGATGGCGATATTCCTGAAGGCGACAGGCGTAGCAAGCGGTCCAAGAAGGCAGGCAGAGTCCGCGGCGCAAGCCCAGATGGCGATCCAGACGAGCATCTCACTCCAGAAGAGCGTGCGTAATTTGATACCTAGACTCAGGTTGCCAAACTGACCGTGATTGTAGGACGAAAGAAGCAGCTCAATGCCCAGATAGACAGCATTGTCAGCACCAGCTCAAATCGCCGCCGCAAGAAGGATGGCATTGACCTCGAACAAATGGCCGACCAGGAGATTGAGGAGATGCGCCGCCGTATGGCAGCAGCTGCCGAAGCCGACAACGAAGGCCGAAAGCGCAACGAGCCCGCGCGACACAAGCTCAAACTTCTGCCTGAGGTGACAGCCCTGCTGAACAAGAACACATTAAGGGATACTATCGTGGACCCTGAGGTGAACCTGCTCGAGTCGGTGCGCTTCTTCCTGGAGCCCCTCAGCGATGGTAGTCTTCCTGCGTACGACATCCAGAAGGATCTCATGGCTTCGTTGGCGAAGTTGCCTGTCAACAAGGACACACTTGTTGCATCTGGCATTGGCAAAGTCATCATGTTCTACATCAAGAGCAAGAAGCCCGAGTTGACCATCAAGCGACAAGCCGAGCGCCTCTTTACAGACTGGACGCGCCCTATCCTTAGGCGGACAGACGACTACCGCAAAAAGGAGTTTGCCCAGGCCGATTACGATCCAAGGTATGATTTACTTTTGCATACTTGAGTACGCATGCTGATAATCTCTAGTCAAATGAAAACTGGCGACAGGTCCGCTGCCAGCAGCCAAGCTGCGGCCATCGCAGCCAACCGCAAGAAGCAGCTCGAAGCTCCCAAGGCCTTCCAGCGCGCCCGCATGGAGTCTGGTCCCACTACGTATACCATCGCGCCCAAGAGCAACGTTGTGTTCAACGAGAACGCACGGAGCCGTTCGAGCAATGTGGATATCATGAAGCAGATCAGGGGAGGTCGCAGTGGTGGCAGGCGTTGAGCTGGATCTCACAGCGCACTTTGTTTTGGGGTGCGTTTTCTTTCTAGTATTACTTCCGATGATGCTTGCTCTCGACATCGCTTTGGTAATATTACAAACTCTTGAGGGTTCAGCATGTTAAAATTGCATAGCGGGCGTTACTTGCAACTTAGAGTTGGTGTGTGGATTCCGCCAGCTTCTTGTACACTATACCAATGCAGTTCTTTTCTGATATGTACTGCTTTTCGTCATGCAAGTGTCTTAACACAGTTTGCAGTAAAAACCTTGTAGGTGCCTTTTGTGAAGCATAACTCAGACAGAACCAAGTTCATTCACAAGATCTATGGTTTCCATAGGGTGTTCTTGGAAGCTCGGTCACCTTACAAGAAAGAACGTTCCCCAACTTCGGCACTTCGACCATGTGTGCCTCTTCACTGACGCTAAAGCTTGACATGGGCTCGGGTACCCTGTCACGGCTCGCAAACACGAGCTGATAGCAGGGTATTCAATGAACCAAACGATGGCCATGTCGTTGCTGGACGGTTCCGGAAGCTCCTAATTGTCGATTCGCGATCTGTAGTTAAGTGTATGGTGTAGATGTCCGTCATGACTGTAGGGTAACTAGGTATCTCACGATTGCACAAGCTCCTCTGTTTCTCGAGATACTGGATGCAGCAAACGAGTTGCGTACAAGAGTGATCTTCTTGCAGCGCAAGGAGACTTTCCTTGCATATCATGTGTCGAGTCTTGCCACTCAATATTAACCTAGAACATGAGACATTCAGTTCTCCAAGTTGGAATCTCCGCATCGCGCACGCTGACATTTTCAGTGTCAAGAATTCATCTTTTGCATATCTGTCACGAAAGGCGGGATCTGGGACAGTGAAGGTAACCTCGCGATTATTTGGACATCAAGCTGTATTCATAGTACGAAACCCATGCTGAGGGGGCTATACAAGGTAGTGAAGAGTATATATTACAGAATATCTGTACAACATGCTGATACAAGATGTAGTGAGCATCTCCAAGGCCCAGCTTCGTATTGAGTCAAAGATCCAACATCCGAGGCAGGGAAGAGATGCATACCTCCCAATCAACCACTGCATCCCATTAGATCAAAAAAAAATCGCTGGCCTCTATACCAGCCTGGTACGAGAGTGTATCTCGCTACTTGACGTCCAGATCTAGGTCGTCAACGGCTTAGAAAGACCTGACCAGCGGCCAAAGGGGGCCTATCTTTCTTTTTCAGTCTGAAAAAAAGGCAAAAAGATCATTTTCCGACACCGGGAATCGAACCCGGGCCTTGCCGGCACTGTACAGTGAACTGACTCTGCAGATGAGAGCGGCAAATCCTAGCCACTAGACCATATCGGATTTTGATGGAAAGAATGGACCAAAAGACGTTATTATACCAAGAAGTGGACAAAGACCGGCATGTTGAAAAGGAAATACAATTTCGCCCTCGAAAATTTTCTATGAAAATATGGGTATGAAAGAATCAGAACACCAAATGGCCAAGGCCCCGCTACTAGTACTACGCATCCAGCTCCACATGTTCAATTAGTGAAACCAAGATCTACTTGCTCAAGACGTCGCCTAACGATACCCCAACGTCCACGGACAACTTGAGTCCAAAACTATCAATCTTGAATACGTTAATGGTGTCCACGAAAGTGCTGTTGTTGTCCACATTGCTCGCCAAGTCTACCCCGTCGCGCGTGATCATTTCTGTGCTACCCACAGTATTTACATTGTAGAGACTGATGTCATACGTGTTGCGATCCCCTTCGATCGACAGGATGCGCGACTGGCACACCGCACCTGCGCCAACCTGCGAGCACTCTGTCGAGTAGTTGTCGAAGAAAGAGTATAGTCCCACCCCGTATCCGAGGATGTTGTTGCTGCGGAGAATACGCAGACCCCAGCCTGAAGCTGTGTTTGGCGATGTTGAGTTTGTTCCATTCGAAGGTGTAGCCGTGAAGACTGGGTCGGACAAGGCTGGAACGGTTGGGAAGGGAATGAGAGCATCAGGGTTGGGCTGATAGTAGGCAGTTTCGGTTTGAATCTGACCCATGAATACGTTTCGTGTGTCGACGAACTGGTACTCATAGAGAACGTGGTGCTCGACTGCTGTGCCGTATCTACCTGAGCGTTAATTACTGCTAACGAAACAACGACGATTTCCAAACTTACAACCATAAAGTTCCCTGAAGACTCTCAATCAGCAGACCGCGGCCAGCATAGATAGTGATCTGGGTGTTGTTGTTACGCGCATCATCGAGATCGTGGTCAGCAGTCCAGAGCCAGTTGTTCTCCATATACAGCCCTGAACTGTACTTGGTGACGTGCATCGACATGTAAGCTGCAATGCATTCTTCGACCAAATTCTCGGAAGTGGTGACGAGATCGGGTGTCTTTTCGCACTGCTCGGTTTGCAGGTCTGATCCTGCGAATCCTCCGATACGAGTGTGCACATCCCAAAGGCCGGCAGGTTCGCCAGTAGGAGAGTAAAGGTTGTATTCAATCAGAACAGCGCCGGCTTGTTGGCCTTTTGTGCTGACAAAGAGGTCAGAAAGTTCGACTCGACCTTGTTCTCCTGGCTGAGCGATTTGCACGACTGGCTTAGGAAGGGACATGTCATTGAAGAAGGGACCGGAGGAAAGGATGACAGAAGCGAGGGCTTCTCCGACGATAGTGGAACCTGGTGGGACGTAGATCGTCGAGGTGACTAGATAGAAACCGGCGTCAAGGAAAAGAATCTTGCCTTCAGCCTTGGCTTTCAGGATTGCAGCGTTGAGGGCATCAGTGTCGTCGGTTCGGCCATCTCCAGTAACGCCAAGGCTACGAGCGCTAAGAAATTGTGATAGAGGAACCTCGCCATACTGAGGCTTCGAGCGCTCGTAGTATTTGCCTTCCGCGTCCAACAACTCTGCTGGTCGCTTAGTGGAAGCGATAGCGCCTCGTGCTTCGACCGGACCGTTCGGAAGGTATCGATGTCCGTCAGCCCAAGCGTCAATGACCGAAGTACCAGGAGATCCTGCCAGATAGGTTCCATTTGGACCAAGTACAGCAGTACCGACATTATCGAGTTTGACATTCTCCAAGTACAAGGCTGCGGCACCAGCAGGCTCAGAGTTGGCAGTCCTAGAGGTAACGATACCAATCGGGGTATTGTTGATCTCACTGTCAAAGAAGGTAATAGATCCCACGTTAACCGCGGCAGGGCCACCGGCAGACATGTTCAGTCCAACCCGGCAGTTGTTAATAGAGACAGACTTGTACGTCCATCCCCAATCCCAGAGCTGCTCAATGGCAGTGTTGACATTGTTGAACGTGAGGTTTCGAGTAGTGAACTGTTGGTTGCCGACGCTGAACCCTTTGTTTCCTCCGTTGAAAACAAGGTCAGTCATAAAACCGCCAGATCCTTCCTCAACGAAGAGTCCCTGGTGCAGTGTTCCGTTGTCGGCGTTCATGTTAAACACTACATTCTGGATGCTTGTAGTTTGTGCAGTTGGCCAGTGAATTCCAGTAGCTGAAAAGTTAGCTGGGAGGTGTGTCATGTCAAGGATAAGGTTGCGAATCTGGCGGAAGAATGTGTTTGTAGGTCCAAAGCCAGTTCGACCAGGTCGGGTTCCAGTGCCTAGGTATGGAGAGCCATCGATTAATCCTAGACCGCCTGTGGAAGAAAAATTGGCTGCAGCCTTGATCGTAGGAAGACAATTTGGGTTTCCGATGATCTTGCAGGGGTTAGTCAAAGTAACTCATACGGAGAGGCTTATCGTTTCGAGTTATGCCTGATACGTAACGTCTTTGCGAGAGGTATACACGTCATGTCACATCCACTTGCTAACGAGTGATGGGATGGTGTATGCCTCTAGAACACGTTTGTGTATCTAGCTATTCGGACTCTGCGGGCTGCATACCTGAGTGTAGTAATAGTCGATGAGACTGCTCGAGATCAAGTAAGTCCCGCCAGGAAAGTATACAATGGCAGGCTCATTGGTAGAGCTCTCGCAGGACGACGGGGCACATCTGCTTCCCTCTGTAATCGCTTTCTGAATGGCGGCAGTATCATCGGTGATTCCGTCACCGACAGCGCCATAAGACTTGACATTCCTGAACACTGTGTAATTGTTTGGGTTCGGATTGAAGCTAGCAACGCCCTGGTGCTTTATGTCCTCTAGCCAGTATGGGGCGCACGACGAATCTTGATTTGCAGATTGACGAGGCTGAGCATGTGGGTGGGCGTGGCGGCTCGCAAAGCGTAAGTTGGATGATTCGTGGACATAACCGTTGGTGGAACGAGCGGACAGCGCGAGTGCGCAAGTGGAATACAACCCTAACACGAGGGAAGTTGTAGGAACCAACATCTTAGTAAAATAAGAAAACAGCAAGAATAACGAGCGACAGGAAGGTAGACAGAGTAAGTCGACAAACGACTAGCCTTACGGTACACCACATATTAATATATCAAGGCGAGAGCTGACTCCCTGTAATGGCTGTCATAGGGCCGATCGACAGTGAACTACGCGGCGGCGATCAGTCATGCCTACTTGCTTGGCTGATTGGACACGCAAGCCGTGCTGCAGTGTGGTGCACTTCAGCTCGGACTTGGACCGCGGTGCATGTGGCGTACATGTTGACGGCATACTTCTGGGGGCTGAAACACTTAGTTTAACGGTTCGCGAAGCCTCATTACAGGGCCAGCCAGCCCTATGTTAACTCTGGTAGTGAGAGCATAGGCTGCCCAGGCGCCTTGGAGCCATCACTTTATGTAGTGTGACTATGCACAAGAGCTGATGATGTTACCACGCGCTGCAGATGACATGCATGCAAGTGGACTTTTCAATTGTCTCCTGTGTCAGCCCCACTACGAACTCAACACCACCTCACCCCCAAATATTGAGATGCGGATCGACTGTCTCAACACGTGCTTGCAGCTTGCTCCGCGGCAGTGTGGCGCCACGACGCTATGACAACCATGAATATGGTTCCGTGCCCTGTGTAGGTTCGAGACAGGGGTACTTGTTTAGTGATCTGTGAAATGAGATGGTCTTGGGCTAGGTATCCAAGGGGTGGCATACTGTACAAAGGCACGTTAAGTCGAGTAAGCTTGGCTTGCTAGTTAGGATGATGCATCTGCTTCAAATCACCGAGACACTCTTAGGGCCGAAAAGTTCGAGACGGAGTGAGAGATGCGCAAGTCACTCCGATTCCACCAGGTGTCTCTGATAGACAATCAGAACGGCATGTCCGGATGTTGGAAAGATGCCCGGGTTCTGTCGGGCAGACTGCGTAAATGAGGGTATCAGCGTCGTGCAACGATATAGAGAAAAAGGATAGGAAGAAATTGCTCCTTTCATGCTGACGGAGGAGAGGGACGCATAACAAACAATCTGGGTAGGGACGCGCGGGCACGTGACCAATCTTATCGGAAACATCGCAGCCCAAACTCCGACAATCCAAACTTTTGCGTATCGAAGTGCAGTGTGAACGTCATCTTTGAGATACCCATCTTGCACACCACTACAACCCTTCTTGTGATTCACCGCACAGATCATACAAGACATAACGAAAATGTTTGGAGGTTGGTTCTAACAATTATGACGGGAGAGTCACAGATAATGATACTAACGTGCATGACAGCACCACCCCAACCATCCAAGCAGGAGCTTGCTGCGGCCGAAGCACAGACTATGACCGATATCAAGTGGACAGCAGCCAGCGCTGTTGTGCTTTATTTCTGTAAGAGCAACCAGAGACTGGGCAGTATACAGATGGAAGACTAACAGGTTGCCTGTAGCACCTCATCTCGTCGAATACGTCTCGAAGCTCTTCTAAGCAACGACCCTTCCTGCGATCATGAACTTTTCCACGACACCTTGACGCTGGACGTAAACAAGCATAAACTTGGAGACACCCAGCGATATATCAGCAAATTTCTGTATAACATGTGCGCAGGGGATGCGCTTATAACTATACTGGTCTATACTGTAGGCTCTACATATTGAACGGACACAAATACCCTTACCGTATACATGTTATCGACACATATTTCTTGAGAATCGGCGGGAAATCACGGAAGACCAACTGGCATATGCATGATCATATCAAAACACAAAACACTGAGTGGCCAGGAGAAGTGAACTTGGTGCTTTCAGTCAGCTAGAAAGGACTGCTATGTGAATAAAAGAATCGATCACCAATGCTCCAGCGCACACTATGATGAAGATGAGATATTATGCAACGCTTAATTGTACGCCTTCTATGCATCCGTCCGCTGCTTGGTATCTCACGACGCCCGACTTTTCGAAATATAACCTCCAGATCGCCTATGAATCGTACATGCCGAACACGCCACCGTATTATGCTCTTATCGCTTTGTCGGCCTTGATTGCTGCGCCGTCTCCCATTCATCGTACTCGTCTCTAGTGTCGTCGACCCACTTCTTGAGGTGCTCGAGTTGTCGGTCATAGTCTTTGAGTAGCTACAGTACATTGTTAGTGTATGCAAGGCGTCATGAAGCTGGCTTCTTACCTTCTCTAGTGCCTTTTGGTCTTCATCAGTAAGGAGTTCACCGTTTTGTTGCTGCTCAATCGTTTTGCCCAGCTTTTCGGTCTCCTCCTGAAGGATACGCGCCCGCTCGCGCACACCAGACATACGCGCCCAGATCTCTTCTTGTCGCCCGCCAAGTACGGGATCAAACGTCTGCTTCTCCAACTCGATGAGCTTCTTCTTCAGGTCCTCCTCTGGCTGATCCATGACGTATCCTCGGTTACGCAGGATCTGGACCTTGGTTGCAAGGGCTAGTGTTCGTTGTGTGAAAACGATGTGCTTCCGCTTTGCTTCAGTGATGCGCGAAGCTACAGTCAGCTCGTGCGCGTCTTTGAGAAGTGACAGACTGTTGTTGATCTCGTGCAGTCTGGTCCGGAGCGCGGTGACGGCAGCTGCTTGTTGCTTGATGCGTTCTCCAACCTGTTCAAAGCCGCGGGCAAGCACAGGGATGGCACCTGGGCTTGGCTTCTTTGACAAAGCCTCCTCCCATTTCCGTTCGTCTTCGCCTTGCGAGGGCCCGTAGAAGGGCGCTTCTTCGGGCTTGACCGAGTTATAGAAGTAGTATTGGAAGACGCATTCAGGGTTCTCGGGGTCCCACTTGTTGTTGAGAATCCGTATCTGCTCGATGACCGACTTCTCTCCTAATAGGTGTTAGCATAGCTTCAGCAAATGAGTTGAAAGGTTCATACTGTGACCGGTCATGTAGGCAGAGCCAGCAAAAGGTTGTGCAGAAGACTGGCGCAGCTGCGGAAGCCCTTCGCGCTGTTGCTGAACGCTTTGCGCCTGTACGTTGTTGAGAACAGGTGCTGGCTGCAACGAGGCGCCGAATAGGCTGTTGCCCATGTTTGGCTGTTGCTGTTGCCCCTGTTGTTGCTGCTGCTGCTGCTGCTGGGGTTGGCCGAACAGACTGGAGCCCGCGTTTTGTTGTTGCTGTTGCTGCTGAGGCTGTCCAAAGAGACTCGAGCCTGCATTTTGCTGCTGTTGCTGTTGCTGCGGCTGGCCAAACAAGCTCGATCCGGAGTTCTGCTGCTGTGGTTGTGTTGATCCAAACAAGCCATTGTTGTTGGTGTTGTTGTTATTCTGGGGGGCGGTCGATGACCCGAAGAGGCCGCCAGACTGTGTCGCGTTTGACTGCTGTGGCTGTTGCTGCTGCGATTGACCAAACAGACCACCAGCTGGTGCTGTAGTGCTTCCAAAAAGAGTACCCGTCTTCTTCTCCCCACCAGCCGTGTTTCCAAAGCTGAATGACATGTTGTATAAAGCCCAGGGTATGCGCGTATACTCCTAGGCAGATTCGATGTTGTTGTAAACGAGTGGTGCTGTCTGAAGTCGCGAATGGAAGAACTTCAGATGTTTGTTTTCGGTCGCGCGTGGGTGCGCGAAGAGGAAACCGCGGAGACGTTGGCGCAGGGATAATTCTCAAGCAAGCTCAGTCCGCGCGCATTCTGATTGCCGAGAGACCCCAAATCCGTGCAAGAGGTGTAGTGGAGGTGCAGGTTAAATGGTGGGAGCGTGTTGTCTCTCACTCACAAAGGACAGGCACAAGCTGCGGCCGATCGCATCCCTGCCAGTTTTAGTGAACCGCCAAGACCGAGTTCCGCGACGACCTCACGAGCATCATCTTCAATTCATAAGCAGATAGCCCGCCATTGGCACCTCACCCTCAAGATGTCGTCGCGCCAGCCCAGGTAAACTCTCTCTTCTCGTCCCATAGTTAGCTTCAAGCGCTTAATAATTTGCAGGTTCAACCAGCAAGCCCTCATCGACACCACCCCTCTACCCGACGACATCCCCAAGGTCAAAGAGCTCGGAGCCAGTTCTGCGCCCCTCCTAAGTGCCTCGTTCTTCATTGGCGCGCGATGCAAGGCCTACAACGATGATTACATGATGTGCAAGACCGAGGCCAACGGCCGGGGAGAGTTCGACTGTATGAAGGAGGGCCGTAAGGTCACCAGGTGTGCGGCTAGCGTGTACGTACCAGCAGAAGGCTTCCTTCTAGACCTTGGTTGTTGACACATGTGGCAGTATCAAGGACATCAATGAGAACTGCCTGGCAGAGTTCCGCACCCACTGGCAATGCCTAGAGAACCACAACCAGCAACTCTGGAACTGCCGGTCAGAAGAGCGCAAGCTGAACAAGTGTGTGTTCGAAAAGCTGGTATGCTGGAATATTACTTTCGCTCACGTCCTTCACTAACACGGTTTCAGAAATTGGAGAAGACGATACCAGATGCGCCCAAGGGTGAGACCCCAGTCCACCTGCGCACACGCAACATCTTTGCGACTCATTAAGCTTTGTACATATTTGCCGCCGGAAAGGACACCAAGGATAAATGAACGACATCACCTGAAATGTGTGACTATGACAAAACACTGCATGACTGTTTGTATTGTGACAGCAGCCCATTCTTTCCTACTGTGTTCCATTATGTCACTTGGCGCATCTCCCGACCATGCTACGAAGAAGCCCGCCTTTCTCTTTCTGGGATCCAGCATTCCAAGTCTAAATGTCTACATTCGTTCTATTGTATGTGTGGCTCGCTAGATTTTATGCGAATACCTCAGGGTACTTTCTGGCGTAAGTGAATTCGAGTGGTTCACCATTTACCATCACCACAACGCTTCAATCCTCACTGTCACCTGCTATTGTTCGACAATGCAGCTATTATTTTTAAGTTCTCGTCATCTCGGCTGCAGCTACTCCTTACTGCTTCCCTTCTCTCACCCAAAGTCACCATCTACTTCTCCGTCATCATACCTTCAACATCCTTGTAGCACGTTTCTTGAGTATCTACTACTCTGGTTGTCCCTCTGGTTCTATTACGCGTGTCATCGGATCAGTCATGTCCAACCCCTTCTGCGATAACTATGTAGACGACGCCTCTACTCCGCCCACCTCGCCAATCTCCGATGGCATATCCGAGCCTATCGATTGGAATAGCCGTAACTTGGTGTATCTTCTCAGCGTCTTGAGACCCGAAGAGGTTGCAGCCGATATACTCGTCTTCAATCCTCCACTTGAGGCTCTAGAGGACCTTACATACCCCTTCCATCTGCAGATCCACAAGAAGGCTGTTTCCACTCGCATCGACAGTCATCCCTATTCTAGGGACACTCACATCTGCACCAGGCGTCCTCAACCATGCACGTTGGTCGCTGAATCAAACCGCGAGTGCATGAGCCCAGAACTCGCTCGTCGCTCCCTCGCCCACGATCTGCTCTCCAATATCGAGCTTGTCGACGCTACCATCGCCAGATACAACGCACTTTGGGTCATTCATAACAGCGATGTGTCTACATTGGAGTCTATACTACGCGCCATGTGCGAGATGATCACTATTGCCGACGACGAGTGGCAGGGTCGCCTCGATCAGCTGTGCGGCATGGCCGCTGGAGACTACACTGGCCAATGTGTCGATGGAGACTGTTCCGCAGAGACACGTTTGGAGTATCATCTTCTGATGACAGGCAGGATTGCTTTGGAGGATTGGATTCGGTGTGTCGGTGCTTGCTTGGGCATGGACTCTGAGAAAGAAAGGGCAGCGCACGCAGAGGTTTACGACGAGGCAGGCAGCTTCCTCGGCAGGGCATTCTATCAGATGGTAGGTTAGGCATGGGGGTTGTGGGGACTTTCGAGGTCATGTTTAGGATGGATGGATGGAAGCGAGCGTAGGTGAGGATGAAGCCTCCAGACATACACACCGCCAACACGTCTTTACCATTCGAGCACTTTCAATACAGGTATCTAGGCTTCGTGGAGCTACTGGGTATCTCTATCATACAATCATAATCATTACCACATCTAATCTTAAGCCCTCCTGCTGCTGCCTCCACCACCTCTCGCAGCACCCAAGAACCTATCTCTCAAGCTGCCCCTATTGGCCGCAGCATTCCCCGCCGGCGAACTCCGCAGAAAAGAGCTACCTTCAAGAAATGAACTACTCCCGTCCATACCAAAGCTACTCCTTCCATTTCCCAGATCGACCCCGAGACTGACCCTTCCAACCGCAGGATGTCCACCCCCAAACAACATACCACCAGGCAGCCCCGAGCTTCTGCGACTCGAATTACGACGTCCACTTGAACGGCGCCTTGTTGAGCGTCTCGAACGCACGGAGCTGAGTCCAGGTGGAAGAGCGCTGGTATCCACATCGCTATCATCTTCGAGTTCAGAATCCGTGTGTTCGTAGCTCCCAGCTTCAGGAACATCGTCATCGAGATCGCGTTCGTCTTGCAACACGCCTGCCATTTCCGCCTCTTCCATCTCCAGCATATGAGACACTTCTGCTTCGAGCATGCTGCCTTCTATGAAACTATCCTCATTGAAGGGTACAGTGCTTTCTTCTTGGACGTCGCCACTGACTTCACTTCCCTCCTCTTCCTCCTCTGATTCTTCGTCACTCGATACTTCGGATGCACTGGGTGTGCTTTGTGCCTCAGGAACTTCATCGTCAAGATCCCGTTCTACTTCTCCTTCCCCAGCATCTTCTTCCATTTCTCCTCTTTCCCTTTGCTCCTCGTTTGCAGCATCCTGCTGTGCGGCTGCTAGATCCATCATTACTTGCTCTCTGCGCTGCATCATCTCTTGCTCCTCCTTCTCTAGCCTTTCGTCGTCAATCGCTTGCAGTGTTTTGGTGACACCAGGCGGACGCAGCCAACCCGCGCCGAATCTGCGGACATTGAGTTTGCGCTGCGCGATTGTGTTTTCGTCGGCAGTCAGGCTGGATAGGAGATGGTTCTGGTGGCGACGTGGGCCGTGGTGCGAAGTTGGTCGCCGGCTGTTGTGGCCATGAGATGTGTCTGGTGGAGAGTGCGAGTGGGTATCCTCAAAGGCGGCGTGGGTGGTGTGGTGGGAAGGCCAGAGGCTGGCATCCTTGGAATATCGTCAACTCAATTCTAGTGTTGCTTAGATCTGAAGCTTTGGATGTTCGCATCTTCAGTTGAAGCAGTCAAGACATGTGTAAAAGTACTTACTGGGCGCGGCGCGATCATGGGTAACGAAAACATCTTGAAGCTTGTATATCCCTTAACAGCACGCTGCAGGACGGAAAGAAGAAATCGCCAAAGTACAATGGCGCGAGTTGTGCGCGTCGAGACGCGTCGTTTAGTGTTTCCTTCGTGCTTGCTGTAAGCTGATGGCCCCACCTCGGTTCGTCCTAATGCAGGAAGGTGCCCAAGTCGCCGCCAACAGGGCTCCACGTACGCTCTCCATACTGCCTTCCACCCTATTCTATACATCTACCTTGTCCCGTAGACTATTCAGAGAGCTAGATCCTTTTGTCAGCTGTACCTCTATCATGGGCAACCACAATTCTACTCGATCAGCATCGCATCTTCCTTTCAAGACCGAAATTATGTCTTCAGGGTCTTGAGATTCATGCCATTTAGACTTTCGAAGTCATACCAATTTTCCAAGCCTTCATTTTAGAATGACCTAGTTGGAACCTAGACGTTATGGTCAGGAGGAAATTTTAGTTTTCAAATACTTTTTGGACAAAAGACGATGGCGGAGTGGCACATGTTTTCTGGCCTTGATTGCTATGAGCATCTGCTTACGATTCCAAAAGGTCGTACGTACGTACTCCCGTGTAGACAAATGAATAGATACTGTGGTATTTTATATGCATGAGCTGCTTTTTCACCTGGTTACTAAAGAGATCCATGAATCTGCAAGGATATTATGTTGTCTGTTCTTGTTTACATCACATGCTCGCAGTATCCAATACCTGGGTTGCTTAAAGACTGACTGTGTAAAAACGTACAACTATTTTCTGGATAGACCATGACGCTATCAGAGCAACATGAAAATTACAATGATCTTGGTGATTTCTGAAAGTCATGAATCACCCTTACGTTTCTAAATTAAGAAGTTGAGAACTGGAAGCCATGTAAGTTAGAACTGGTAATACCACTCCTAAAGACATTGCAGTATTTTTAAGAATTTGAGATCCAGACACGATCAAGCCAACTCTCCTATTTCTCGCTTCTTGCTCTGTTCAACAAGAAAGAAAGAGAGAGACAAGACAGACGCTGGACTCCATATTGGTCGATTCAAGATCCATATGCAAACATCGATGGACTCGGTCGAAAACTCACCATGACAGACTCAATCACCAAGACCGTAACACATTCATGAAAGCCGCATAGACTTGAAGAATTCGTTGTATCGGCCCGAACAGGGACAACTGGTACCATACCCGGTATCAAGAAGATTCAAGGAATACATGAAACCTACTGTGTACGACGTTGATCCACAAGAGAGCCCCAGAACCTCCGGAAGCTGTTATAGGCGCGCTGAAAGATTTGACATATTAATCATGTTTCGTCTGTGGGGGTGGATTCATGATCAAGTGTCGGGCTTGTTGTCGGCCGCAAAAAGCGATAGTAAGCGCTTCGTAGCAATGAATACTACTACAACGAGGAAATCCCTTGCGAATGCAGTTTACAAATCGGGCAGCAATATGTCGAAAACGGCTGTCATATCATCGTTCAATCGGCCCTGCATGGAGTCATGTTCAGCCTCCGCGGACACTAATCGTGATGTGTACATGTACCTGTACATCCTTCCAGATCGAAGGAGAACGGCGCATCTCCACCTTACTATTCCCGCTGTTACATTCGAACGTCGTCAGCCTTTGCTGCGCTTGGAATTAATCGTCCTTCGTCTACGGCACCACTTCGGGCGCATCCATGGATCTCTTCCACTTTTGCTCCGGCTTGTCGGTCACCTCCGCCTCCGACATCGCGAATCGCGGATCCAACGATTCGCAAGGACGTGACACGCGCCGGTACGAGGCTGGTAGTGGGCAGGTACGGACGCGATGTAGACGTAGCCTATCTTAAAAAAGCATCTCATCACCATAATCTCCGCGTCCGTCAAAAAGACTATTTTGATATGGCATGGCTAACGATGCGACATCTGTGCGATCCGTCTGCCGTGCTGGGGGATCCCCCATTGAGCAGTCCCGGAGGCGCGTCCGCCGCACGAGAACGGTTGCTTGGCTGCTAAAGCTTAATGCTTACTTTGGCGCTAGCATCGCGCATTTTAGCCGCTTCGCCGCCCACGGACGGGTCGAGATTCCAAGCGTGCAGCCCATGGCTTGAGAGGATGCGGCATGAGCAAGCGAAAGTAAACAGGCTGAGATGTGTGGCAGTGACGATCGAGAAGCCGCGTCGGAACGAAACACGGTGAAGAGATTTCGGATAGCGGGTAGCGGGTAGCGGGAATAATGCCTAACTGCGGTTCAGGCATGCAATCGAGGAAGGGAATGTTGATCCTTCGTGCAGCATTTCACAGAGAAGGCGTTCTCTAAGCTGCAATAGCAGAACGTATCCCAAAGCATAGCTATGGTAAGAAAAATGGGTTGCTCTAGTTGCATCTTGCTACGACTAAGGAGAGGCTGGCAGTACCGTAACCCACAAGGCGTCCGTATGGGTTGGTTGCTGCTAAGAACATATTGCCGTAGTGCAAAAGGCACGACGCAGGAGAGAGTTGGAAGTGGAGACCAGCCTATTCATGTGCTATGTCGAGAGGTCCTGTCCTTGGAAAACGAAGCTCCGCTTACAACCTGGACGCGCACTGCACCAACATGCGCGCTAGCAGTGTCCAGCGTCGAGAACTTTGCTACGGAAACGTAAGAGGCGCCATTTTAGGGTTGCAATATCACCTGAGTGGCTGGCTGCGCGTCCGCGATAACGGTATCATGGGAATGCTGCAGATTGTCAGCAACAGCGACAGGGTGCAGTTCGTTCACGTGTGGGAAGAGAGGGGTAAGGATCCTATGTACTGAGTACTTCCCATGGGGCTGCTTTATACCAGAGCCACTTATCTGCCCGTTTCCAGGACCGTTGAGTTCGTGTCGTGCCGCTGAGCCCACAATCACACCACCTGGATACTCAATGTAGAAAAGGCGTCCATCTTAATGCAGAATGGTAGGCTACTATGGACCTGGTCCGTGACGTTGTGGGCAGGGGAAGACGACGAAATTGGGTACGCAGATATTGCCGAAGCCTTGGACATGCATTGTGTTGCACCTGAGGGGTTTTGTGTGGCTCGAAAGGTGGTGTTCTGGCAAGCAGGCTCATTCGTGCGTTTGGTAAGCGAAACGATTGCGAATACAGTGCATACATAACGGTTTCTCTTCGTTGGAGCATTAATGTCCGGCTGGTTGAGTCAAGCTTCAACTCATCGCAGTGTTGGACAGATGGTATCTTGACCAGTGGCTCTGCAGTCTCACCATGTCACGCATGACGTATCGAAATCTTGGGAGGGTTTTTCTCCTAGTATATATATCGAGGCTCGTGCTTTCTCAAGTGTAGCCATAATGTGCTGTAGAAGTATTCGAGGCGTTTTACGTATTTCAAGCATAACATTGGTTCTAGTGAATATCTTCACAGTCAAATCAGTCCCGCTATTGGGTGTCATACCTTAGATAATACGAACGTCTTCATATGTAACAAAGATCTCATCGTACATGTATGTGTGCTACATATGAGGGGCATATGTGGTACATTGGTGTAGCTTGTCAATCGTGGCGAGACTGTCTTGCGTCGAGTTGCTCACCGATGTCGTTGAACAATTCCACGCTCCACAACATGTACGAATGGCCACAGTCTTCGAGTTTGGTAAGCCTGACGACAACTATCTTGTCTAAAGCTATCTTACACTTGGATATACCCAGGCTCAGTAAAATTAGAGTGTCGAATGCAAGAAAGTTCTAAAACCTGAAGCCTTCCTATATGAAGACCCTCGGTATGTACAACGAATTACGGATAGCCTTCCAGAGCATCAGCGGGCCGTCGCCACTGATACTACCGATTCCTTCCGGACAGGTGCAAGCCGCTGCTGCTGTGCTACGCCTGACCCTCTTAGAGTTGTTTAGAGATGTCAAGCGGCTGATGTTGTGGCACGGTAGTAGCACACTTGTGGCATAGTTGACTGTAGGTGTAATGCATGCGGGTGTATACGGAATATCTTACACTCTGGGAACGTGGTAGTTGCATGTCCCTACCTAATGCCGGTGGGGTCTGCATACTAATTGTGTTACTGCAAAACGTACCATGGTCGACTTGATATGTAAAGTACGGTACGGGAACGCTATCTTATCAAACAACTATCTACCCGCAGGCCGCGACTGCAGACGTTGGTTGGGACTATGCTAGGCACGGTGTGCTTGATAGGGTGTGGGGGTTTCTCTAATCTCCATACTGCAGGATCGCCCGCAGGGGAAGATTGTTCCTATATGTGGTCTGGTGCCAGTTGTCCTGGTAGTATAATACCTTTTGCTATAGCACGGCGCAACACAGGGACTCTGTACGTGCAGAATTTTAGAAAAAGTTTGCATGTCAACCACATCTGAAGCAGAGGTCAATCCTCTCGACTTACAGGAAGCACCGGATGTGAGACCGTGCTTGTATTCGAAGCACCGTAGAACAAAAGTTGATAGTTGTCAGCTTGGGCGACTGTTAGGAAGGTCTGCTTCTGCTCCTAGGTTGACTTGGCGCGTGTGTCGGACCTCTACCAGCGAGTACCATGCCGACAGAGAGCCAATGACC